TAGTTACTATAAAAGTAAAGGACTACTACCGAATTCAAAACCTAATACGAGTAAAAGTTATTTTGGCTCTTGAAAACTCTCCTATTGATCATATTGACTTCGAGATATATGGAAATGTAAGAAAAACTTATTTCAAGTCCTGAAAATAGTGCATCTTATAACACATTATCTGGACCGTTCATTTTTTGATACTTTCATCTTTTCATAGATCCGCTTGATTTGTATGATCTTAAGAAAATTAAATTTCATAACCAAATGTAAAAATAGAATTTCACGCTATTGCAGGGGTTTCAAGCACCAAAACTGCATCTTCTAACAAGGTTTGGAGATAAGCCAACTTTGACCTTTTGAGGTTGATGCCTTAAACATATACTTATTGCAATTAGCCCTATGGGCTCTAGCAAAATGGAAAATATGCCCACTAGCCAAACAAGAAAGTGGGGTACTATAGTTTTGAGTCATTTTTTCACAGAAGTGGTGGAAGCTTCATAGAATGCAAGAATGGAAATAATTTCTTTTCTTTTTTTTAAAAAGGTCGGAATGGATATCAAAATTGGTCCTATGAAAACGCCCCGGAAAGGGGTATTATCGGTATTACTAGTGATCATTGCTATAAAACTATTTCAAAGAAAATTGAAATTAAGATGACAATAAAATAACTTCTTAATAAATAAGAAATTGAATCTATTTATTTTTTAAATATAAAAAATGGAAGATATTATTCAACCAAAATAAAAACTAAACCTTTCTTCGAAAAATCATTAGAAAGAATGAAAAGAAGCATAAATCTCTTTTTTTTGGTGGTAGTTTAGGGGTAGGAATTGAACTTTGAGTTGATATAAATCTTACATCATACTAATGGCAGACGTAATGGTGTATCCAATCAAAGTTCCAACAAGGTTCGAGTATTGAGCAACCCCACATATGAGCACTTTTTGTGGACCTGCAAAATAAGCCAAAAGATTATATGTTCCTGCGAGAGCATAATGTCATTGACTCCTCTCGGGCAATACCCTATACAAAATTATTTTTAAGAACGCAAATTAAGTAACCGATTAAGAATGAAAAAAGGGAAACAGAATCAAAATCATATGCAGACTAAATATGACAAAAAAAATTTGTCCTAAAATCGAGAAAAGACTCTCTAATTTATAAACAGTCCCAATTACGTGTTTTGGAACTCATAATTTAATTTCTTCTTTTTGAAAATAATCATTTGATAATTATAGAGAGTATCAAAAACTTCAGGTCCAAGAAGTCCTCAAAGTAGCTCTTTCATCAAAAATCACGACATAATCACATTGCACTCCAATATCGAATGCTTAAGATATTCAATGTTTTGTCAGATAAGACAACACGGCCACATGATCCACCATGTTTGTTGATTTTATTAAAGAAAAAAAGTTTATATAAGGTTCCATTGAAATGTAGAATTAAGGTGCACCTCAAAAACACCTCATAAAAAGTTGTTTTGATTTTGGAAAACTCTCGAATTGGTCATCTCAACATCGAGATGTATAAAATAAAATAAAAAAATAAAAAAAATTGAGTCTTAAAAATAGTTTATCTCGCAATACATTATCTAGAACGTCCATTTTCAAAATTTTGAAGTATTTATAGAACTACTTGATTTGAACCATTATTTGAGTTTAAGATTTTATAATTAAATATAAAAATAGATTCTCAAGCCATCCTAAAAAAATATGTACACCTAAAGAGCGAAAGCTTACGATATTCAATGTTTTGTCTGATAAGACACAACAAGGCCACATGATCCACCATGCTTCGTCATTTTTATTAAGGAACAAGTTTATATAAGGTTCAACCTTAAAATGTAGAATTGAGGTGCACCTCAATAGCACATCATAAGAAGTTGTTTTTATGTTGGAAAGCCCTCTAATTGATCATCGCAATACTGAGATGTATAAATACGAAAAGAAAAAAATATTTCGAGTCCTAAAATAGTTTATCTCACAACATATTTTCTAGACCGTCCAGTTTCAAGATTTTGAAGTGTTTATAGATCTAGTTGATTTGAACTATTTTTGAAATTTAAGACTTTATAATTAGATATGAAAATATATTCTCCAACCATCCTAAGAATTTTTTACATCAAAATTATACTTATGATAAAATTTGGAGGTGCGCCTTATTTTGATTGTTTAAGGTTGTAACCTTATACAAACCACGCCCTTTTATTAATTACGAGTTTCATGAGCTTCTTAGCTCTCATGAAGGAGGAATTAGACCATTCTTCCTCTTGGTTTTTTTATACGAATTGAATGTGGTTGTTCAATGCAGTGTTGAGTGCTCGGGCCGAGATCCAAGTACTGAGGCCCTAGGGATGCCCCAAGTTAAGTATCTTACTCGAGGATATTAAAAAAATTTCAAAAAATAGGTAGGGTCCATTATCCCACTAATTCACCCAATTTCAAAAAATAGGTAGGGCCCATTATCCCACTAATTCACCCAAGAAAAGAATATGAAAACAAATGTTTTCCCGTTATAATCTCCATTTTCTTTCACTATTTCTCCCCCCTTCTATTTTTTTCCTTTATAGTTAATACATGTGTTTCCATAAACCTACTAAAACAGTCTCTTTTCTTTTAAACAAAATATTATCACTACACAAACATTATAATAATAATAATAATAATAATAATAATAATAATAATAATAATAATAATAATAATAAGATAAATGATCCTATAGAAGCCTCCCCCACCCATATGTGTAGGATCCCAAAGGATTACCATTAAATTTGGCATGGATCTCTAAAAAAATCAAGTCCCACACCCATATCAAAAATTTTCTAGAGATCTGTGCCAAATTTAATGGTGATCCTTTGAGGTCCTATACACATGAGTGTGAGAGGGTCCTATAGGATCATTACTCTAATAATAAAGGATTTCAAGTCATAAAAATAGTGCATCTTATAACATATTAACTTTAACCATCTATTTTGAAAACAAATTAGCGTTTATAGGAGATTTGAGTTTCATAACTAGGGTGAAAATGGTTTTTTAGGTCATAGTAAGAGTTTCCCATACCAAAACTTCTTTTTTGAGCAAAATCTACTGAGTGTTCTTTATTTTGATTGTTTAAGGTTGACAACTTATACAAACCTCACCCCTATAATTACACAAAATACAAATATTGTACAAAATCCCACATGCATGCAAACACACACACATAGAGTAAGTCCTAGATACGCTTAAAACATGACATGCACTGACACACGCACACAGACACAAACAAAATCCAATACATGTTTAAAACCACATTATGCACACACATACACACACAACCCTATACACATGAGAGTAAGAGAGAGAGAGTCCTAAATATGCTGAACACTGCACATGGACAAACTCAAGCACAAACCTATGAAGGAAAGAAGATGGGTGGAGAACTTGGCAAAAATTCCAGATTTTGATGGCGATATCATTGGATTATATATCACAGAGACCCACATAACTCTTAAGCAAGCTTTCATGGTCATCGTACATGACCCAGTGAACCCTATTTTATAGAGGGTTGCAGTTATTCGAACATTAGGGTTTGCAGGAAACTCTAAGAAGATAGCCCCGAAATCTAGGAGATATGGGAGTTATCCACGAACCTACCTTTGGGTAAGATATAATCTCTTTAAAAAAAAGTATTTCCAAGGTAAATAAAAAAAATATTGGGCATAAGGCATAAGGCCTCAAGGCCACACCTACCAACTCCCTACCCACACAAATACCAACTCCCTACCCACACAAATAGAGAGACAGAGAGAATCTTAGATATTCTCAACACCAATGTTTGATTAAACGACTCGGGTCTTGTGCTCTTCCCAAACCCGGGCCGAGTATAAGTAACTTGGCCTGAGTTGGATCAAGTATTGTTCAAGCTAAACAATATGGAAAAAAAAAAAACCAAAAAAATAAAAATATATGTTTAAAGTAGGGTTAAACAAAATGCATCCAACTGAGGTTAACAAAGTAGCAAAAACCATAGATTTTAAAGATTAATTTATGGCCGGTAATTTCGAAATAATCCAAAAAGGAGACTGTAAAATTGAGTACTTGTACACAAAATACTTTTCAATCTTTGTCAAAATGATAGAACATATAAAAAAACATGTTACAAAAGAATACCTTTTTTACCTTTAAGTTTTTTATAATTTCCTTGAATTCTTTTAAAATCCATCCCCGAGTTGGACACCCAACTAGAGGATACTTGGGCTCGTCCATGACGAACTGAAATTACTCAGGACTCGCCCAATTACCCGAACACTACTCAAAAGTCAAAACGACACATACACAAACACACACACAACCCACAAACAGAGACAGGGTAAGAGAGAGAGATGAAAACAGCACGTAAGAGAGAGAGACCTAGGCATGCCCTCACAGCATCGATGTAAGTGTGATTCCGGTGGCCAGTGGTTGGATGAGGAGACCTGTGACAATCGGATAGAAGGTTTGCTGTGTAGTAAGTAACCCATGCAAAGGCCACCACAGTTAATGGCCCCATCATCCACCCCAATTGGGCCACGCTCCATCCTAGTGCAAGAACCCCCGACCCAATCACAGCTGTGATCACATGAGCCGTCGCGGTCCACACTGTTCCTGTAATAAATAAAACAATACAAAAACATAAAAGTGATTAAAAACTAAGAACCTAAAATGTTCCATTCCCTCTAAAGTGATTTTAAGGGAAGGAATCGATACATCGAAGGAGCAGAGCATGGAAGAGTATGGGAATCAATACGTTTAATTGATCATTTTCTAGATTTAATATATATATATAACCTTTTAATAAATGTATTCTAAGCATTAACATAGTATCATGTTGAAAAATATATATATTTCTTAAAGATAAATTTCATTTTTGTAAAATACAAAATTGTTAAAACTTAAAAAAAAGCCATTATAACAGCCAGTTTGGAGTCTTTTTTATTACACATTTTTTACAAATTTGAAATGGTTAGGTATTTGTCTTCAATGGGGATCAAAATCTACAGCTACACTACCAAAGCAAAACACCATTAAACAAAGTAAGTAGCAAAGGAAAGGAAAGACTTCTCTTATAACCATATAATAGATCTTTTCAATAATCAATTATGGTCATTATGGTCAAGTGAGCCATGATGTTTTCCATGTTCTTGTAATGTTATATAACATTGTTTAGAAAATCGGCTCGTCAAACCCAGGAATCAGTCTAGTTAAGAGCTAGGCCATTCCTGGCCTAGAATCTCGGCGAGTCCCAACCCGAGTCCGATTTTTTAACCATTCACGTGGAGTGAATTCTCTGTTGAGTTAAAGCTCGGATAATGATGATGTGAACTGTCTCCTAAGAAATATGCAAGTGGATTAATGAAGTAATGGAACAAGAAATCGCTTATAGCCTCAGAGGTGGTCAAGGTGGCAGCGTGTCAGATTGGAATGGAGTTCCATTCCTGCCAAGGTCTGAAGTGAACAAAAGGAAATGGTGAAACAAGATCAATCTTCTTTTGTTCATTTTATAATAAAGAGGACCTTCAAAGAAATTCAGGCCTTAGAATGCACCTATTTTGCTTGCTTATTACTACGAAGAGGATAAAAACAGGAGCATTTTCTATTGTTTTGAGCTTTCCTTTTTTATCAAACTGCCCTCCCTCCACTTGCTTCAAGAGTATCATCACAAGAAGAAATATATATTAACAACCATTGCTACAAAATGCAATGAATAATGACCTAGAAAAACAGCCCATTAAAAATACATGAACGAGACCACGAATAATCACATTGAAATAAAATATGCAAAGGAGGGCCTACTCAGGTACTAAAAAAAGAAAAGAAAAAAAGGGTGGCAATGACCATAAAAATGACTAAATTACAAATATAGAATGAAACAATGAGAAAAAAAAAAGGGATTATTAACCTTCTCTCTTGTGATCATCTTCTTCATCCTCGAATGCCCTACCTGCCATGACCTCATCCATCTCCATCTCCATAGCCTCTCTCTCTCTCTCTCTCTCTCTCTCTCTCTCTCTCTACTACTACGTTACTTACGTTACGTTACGTTACGTTACTTAACGTTAAGTTACGTTAACGTTAACGTTTACGTTAACGTTACGTTAACGTT